GAGAGTCCAATCACAACAGCTGCTATTAATTAGAAACAGTCATTCATTCCATGAACATACATGTAGGACAATGACATGCCATTGTCACCATGATTAATATATTCTGAACACATGTGCCTTAAATTCAGAAGACAACAGAACCCTAACTAAGGCAGGGCAACATGGGTGGTGTTCTGTCTAGGGGGCCTCTTCACTTGCCACCCTTCAGCAGTGTGTCAATGGCAAAGTTTAGTGTCTAGTTAGCAACAGTAATTAATTGCTATTGGGTGACCTCCTCCCCACCCCAGTCTTCTGCTGCCCTACTCAGAGGAGGACGTGGTTCATGCCACTTGCCCCAGGGACAGTTTGTGGTACTTGCTTTAGGCGCAAAAATGCCTACTTTTACAAGTCTGATCCTGGTCCTGCCATAATTAGCTATGTGACTTTGAGCAAATCACTTTCATTGGATCATAGATTTAGAGTAGAAAGGTCTTTAGAGGCTATCTCCTTGTATAGAGGAGGAACCTCTCAAAGAGGTTAAGTGACTTGGCTGAGCTCATATAGGTAGGAAGTAGCAAGGCCATGATTCAAACCCTGGTCTTCTGATTCCAAATCCAGTGCTCTTCCCTACTGCCTCTTTTGTTTCTCTGGGCCTCAGTTTCCTCATTTGTTAAATTGGGATTCCGAATGAGAGTCACATAAGGTTATCTTTAATGTCCCTCAGCCCTAACATTCTATAAATCTGTGAGTAGCTATCATCATGCCAGGAATTAAAACCTCCTAAGAAATGTCTTTCTCTGCCCCTACTCAGACTCTGTCCTTTTCTGGAAGAGCAGTGAATTGGTGGCAGTCATTCTTTTTTTCCTTCTTGGGATAGAGTTCAGACTTGTGCACCAGACATCTTACTTCCTTGTTTAGCTCCTTCTAGACATGGCCCCACCATGTAAGTGGCTGGTATGGCCACAGTTTTAAACTCACTATGTTGGGGGTGAGAGGGTATTATGGATTAGGTTCTGGGGTGAGGAAGGAAGTTGACTAGCCCTAGGGAGCTTTTTTAAAAGTTATTGAGGAGGTTTCTGTGTCCCCAGATGGCCCCAGTGCACAGTTAGGAAGGTATAGAGTGTGTGTGTGTGTGTGTGTGGTGGGGGTGGGAGTTTCAGAGAGAAAGTGCTACATATTAGGTACTTCAAAGTAAGTCCTAGAAGCAGAAAGAGCCTCAGAAGAACAGTTCTACCATTAGCTCAGCAACCGTCCTGCATGTCAGAGTTAAGAGTTGGAGAGGAGAGAGAGAGAGAGAGAGAGAGAGAGAGAGAGAGAGAGAGAGAGAGAGAGAGAGAGAGAAACTTTCATCAGGGAATGGAACTAAGCAAAATTCAACAGGTAGGATTGTTCTGGAGTTAAGGAACTATATTGTGAGTCTCTTCTTAATGGGCAGATTTTGTCCAGAATAAAATGCTTTCAGAGTCATCTCATCTGTGGTGACTTGAATTCATTATTATAGAAGTCACTGAGAAAGAGGGGGGAAAAGGGGAAATGGAGGGCAGGGAATTTGATGAATACAGAATAATCATTTGGGAAACATACATTAAGCACCTACTGCTAGTTACAAGGGCTCTAAAAATGAAAAAATGTTCTCAAAGCATTTATAGACTGTTATGGGGAGGGCAGAGAGTCAATATGACATATGCACCAAAAAACTACAATATGGCATAGGAGAGGTCAAACAGAGAGATGTGAGAGATTTGAGGAAGAAAGAATTGCCTATAGGGGAGAAATCAGAAGAGGCTTTGAGGAGGAGGCAACATTTTAGAAAGAATTTCCAGGAAACAACACCTTAGCTGGGGCAAAGTGGAGATGAAACAGGAAGATCATGAGGAGTGGGCATATGCAGATACACAGAGATAACAGACACTGGCACGATATCAGGTGATCCAGTTTGGTCAGAACAGAGTGCACAAAGCAAAAATACTCCTGGAAAGGTAGGTATCTAGCTCTTGTGATCTCTGACTTTAAGATCCCCTAAGGGAGAGAGAGAATACCCCATAAAATTCAGCTACAGAGGAAATATTTGCTGACCTTATGACACAATGAAACAGATTTCATCACTGTCCCATCTCCTTGGTCTTCCCCTGTGCCTAAGACATTGGACTACTAGGTACCATGGCCTGGCACCAGTGTGAAATTTTGCTGGGGATGCTCTCTACTGCAGAGGAAGTCATCCAAGGATCCTCAGACCCTTACAGCTTTATTGTTCTCCCTTGAAGAGCCCCTCTCTGTCTGTCTGTCTGTCTGTCTGTCTCTTTACCCATGGCTCTCTTGCCAACCAGGTATGTGATAGTATGATTGCCAACCTCAGAAAAACAGCTGAGAAGCCCTACTTCTGGGATATTTTGTGTGCTGCCTATAGGCAGTCATAGTCAGTGTGTGAGAAATCCTGATTTCTGCTGTCTTCCCACCCATACAGGTCAACTCTCTACCTTCCTCCTCATGCTAACAATAAAATGACTATAGCCATACTGTGCACTGTGGGTTGGAGGTCCTTAAATATTACTAAAGGCTTTTGAGCAGAAGAATGAGCTGCATCAATGCCTTCAGTAGATTATTTTGGCATCAATGTGAAGTATGGAGAAAGGAGAGAATAAAGGCAGGAAAGCAAGTTAGCAGACAATTATAATAGTGCAGGCGAAAGAGAGGGATAAGAAAGACATTTTACAGGTTTAATTTCTAGGCCTTGGCAACTAACTAGATGAAGTGGATGAAGGAAGGGGAAGGGTCAAAGATGAACCTGAGATTTCAACCCTGGGTCATTAGGAGAATGGTTTTCCCATCGACAGGAGTAATAAAGTGAGGAGGAAGGACAGGTCTAGGAGAGGAGGTGATGAGTTCTGTCTGAGTTGTTATTTAGTGACCCAGGTGTCAGGTGTAGCAGGAAGTTAAAGGTGTGGGATTGTAGCCAAGGGACACACATTTGGGGCTAAAGACAAGGATTTTGGAGTTATGTACATAAAGGTGATAAGTGAAGAAATGGGTATATATATGAGCTACTCAAGGAAGCATTTGTTAGAGAGACAAGGTCATTGCCATCTTGGTTGTACTGCTGATGGTTGGCAAAAGAAGTTTCTTGGGGCAGCTGGGTGGTGCAGTGAATAGAGCACTGGCCTGGAGTCAGGAGGAACTAAGTTCAAAGCTGGCCTCAGACCAAACGCTTGACACTTACTAGCTGTGTGACCTTGGACAAGTCACTTAACCCCAATTGCCAAAAAAAAAAAAAAGAAGAAGCTGACCAAAAATCAGTTTATAGGGGCAGCTAGGTGGTGCAGTGGATAGAGCACCAGCCCTGAAGCCAGGAGGACCTGAGTTCAAATCCAGCCTCAAACACTTGACATTTACTAGCTGTGTGACTGTGGGCAAGTCACTTAACCCCAATTGCCTAAAAATAAAAAAAAAAAACAAAAATAAAGAAGCTTCTTTCTATTCTATAGAAAAAGATGAATCTGTGTGAAGGCTACAAATGAGACGAACTTACAGGGCTTCACTGTCATGTGATTCACCTTCCTTTCAAGGGACATGATGTAAAGATGAAGGTTTTAATTGTCAAATAAACTATAGTATTTACTCGGAAGATTTGGAGAACTTACAGGATTTTCTTAGGTAAAAATTTGTTATCATTAGCATTGAATTTTTAATTACTAGTTTTGCTTTCCCTCCCCCAAATCCTCAGAACACAAATTTGGGGGAGACCCTCTTTTTTTTCCCCCCAAAAAAGCTTTCAGTAAAGAACTGCTATGTGAAAGTAGTGTCAGTGGGTTGTTCAGATCTGAGTCAGGTAAGATGAATTTCGAAGTCCCACTTAGTCAATAACGTGTCCCTGTTCATACAGTACAGAATGTAAGTGTAACACATACACGGAGCTGGGAATAGAAATACATTTCACTCAATGGAGACTAGGAGGGAAAAGGGAGAAGGGAGAAGAAGGGATTGGAGGAAGCGTAGATTAAGGGATGGACTAGTCTTAAGCAAAACAAAGGATGTACAAAAATATTTATAGCTGTTTGAGGTGACAAAGAATGGGAATCTGAAGGCATACCCCTGAATGGGGAAATGGCTAAACAAATTATGGTATTTAAATGTGATAAAATAATATTGTGCTGTAAGAAAGGATGAAGGGGATGGTTTTAGAGAGACTGGGAAAGACTTGTATGAACTGGTGCAGTGAAGTGTCCTGAAGATAGAGAACGATTTACAATGATAACATTATTGTGAGGACAACTTGGAGAGAAGTAGAGCCTTTGATCATCATAATGACCAAGCAGAATCCTAGAGAACTCAGGATGATTCTTACTACCAGTCTCCTGATAGAGAAGTGAAGGACTCCGAGTGCAGAAGGAGACAGATTTTTTTTTTTGGACATGACCAAATGTGGGAGTTTGTTTCACTTGACTCTACATGTTTGTAAACTCGGGTTTTGTATTGTATTCTTACTTGTGGGGGTGGGGGGTTAAGAAGGGAAGAAGAGAAGGTAGATTTTTGCTGATTGAAAAAAAAATTTTAAAAAGAAATATGTATATAGAAAAGATTACATCTATGTTATAAAAAGTGAGGGAGAAGATGTGCTTTGATTTGTAAGAAAAAGTGAAATTCCCATGTATGCATTAAATAACATGACTAATTTACAAGAGTTATATGAACAAGATGTTGCCACTTTTCTTACTAATAAAGGAGTTTGCTTATGAGCAACAAATTCAGGGTAAATCATCAGGAGTGATGCTAAGAGCAAGGAATTCATGATTGTCCACACGGCTAAATCGTTTTAGCAATGGCTTTGTAGGGAAATTCAAACTGTTTCCTCCCAGCTTAGTAGTTACCATAGGGGTTTTTTTTTAATCAACTTTCCATTATTCTGAGTATTTTTGGAACAAGTTTATAGGCTTGAGAAATTTTTAAAAGTAAAAGCTACACTGGGATAATGGATTGCACTTTGTCTTCTGTGTATAATTGTTTTAATTGCCATTTTTTGTTAGATTGGAAGCAAAATTCCACTGGATATAGTAAGTAAATGAATAAAGCAAACTTGCATGTTGGGGGTGTGTGCTGAGTCTGTTAGGATATGCTATCTTGGTTTGGACTTGAGCCAAATAATCATTTTCTCAAAGCATGCCTTAAAACCCTATGATAATGCATGTGTTGATTTTTAATTCAATCTTTTGCTGCTTCCTAAACATGAAAATTGACAACAGAATTCACGCTTCTATTATAATTTTTAAAATTTCCCTGCACTAGATATACCTGTCTAAATTGTGTATACAGATCACATACCTCTAATATGTGATCTGTACACATATGTACAGCATGCCACTCTTTGCATCTGGTAATAAGGAGTGAAAAGGAGTGGTCTCTGATTTGAAATGTTAACAAAATCCAGATACTATATTTGGTTTTGAATGGACCATGGTTCAGGGATATTTCTTCACTTAAGAAGTCTAGAACCCAGGGCAGCTAGATGGCACAGTAGATAGAGCACCAGCCCTGAAATCAGGAGGACCTGAGTTCAAATCTGGCCTCAGACCAAATACGTGACACTTACTAGTGGTGTGACCCTGGGCAAATCACTTAACCCCAATTGCCTAAAAAAGAAGTCTAAAACCCAGCCTTGGTAACTGCGGTTTTATGCAAAAGGTGAGGGAGAGATAATAACTGATGGCTAGCTAGTCTTTATATAGTGCTTTAAGGTTTGCAAAAAGCTTTGCAAATATTATCTCATTTTATCTTCAAAACAACTCTGGGAGGTAGGTGCTATCATTAGCCCCATGAGACAGAAAAGTTAAGTCCCTTTCTCAGGGTCACACCGCTAGACCTGAGGCCAGAATAGAACTCAGGTCTTCCTGACTCTGAGTCTCAAACTTTGACAAGCTAACAGCTTTGCTCCTATTGTGGAAATTGGACCCTGTGGTCTTCACAGCTGCATTTTGTCTATACACTGATGTCTGGACTCTTTTTTTTTTTTATGTAAAGGGGCCTTGCCAAAATGATCTTCTTCAGGCCTGTCCAGGTTTAAGTGTGTGATGCTTTCTTTGGCACCTTTTCAAAATATCAATCTTGTAACTATCATGTTGTTTAGAAATAGGGGCAAATGTATGCTGTTGAACATGGCAAACAGGAACCACAAGGACTGTATTCAAAAGTATAATTAGCTCTTTAATTGCTCTTTTGAATATCACAATTACAGTTCCTTCCCAGAGCATCTTTGTTCGGACGAGATAGAGACCATGTGAAGAAATGCATTCTATGGGTTATCAGAAGAACTTTTTTTAGGCAAGAGTTTCAGCCTCTCTCCATCAAATCTGCCATTAGAGCTTATTAGCAAGTAGTGGAATTGGCTAATTTTGCATTCATTTTCCCCCATCTTTTTCCCACATTCAGTGGAGGTGCTGACAGAGAAACCAACAAAAAGCCAGCAGCAGATGGCAAGGAAGCTAGCTGTTGATAGTGCACACACTAGATAAACATGCCTCTGAAGTGAAGTCAGAAGAGCTCAGGTTTAGATGCTTCTGCTTTGAGAACAGCTATATTTTATATGGGATGGAAGCAGGACTGCAAAGATGCTTTAAGTGTGTCCATCAGAATAAGTGAGGCAGCAGCACTGGCAAGCCCCCACGCCTGGAATTTTCTCCCTCCTCGCCTCTGCTCTTGTATTCTCTGGCTTTCTTCAAGACTTGGCTCAAATGCTGCCTTCTGCAAGAGGTCTTTCTTTGTTCCCTGTAGGTTACTTATGTGTATGTATCTTTGTATGTGTCTCGTATATATCTATTTATTTACATGTTTTCTCATTCTTAAGATTTTCTTTGAAGTCAGGAACCATGTGTGCTTTGCACAGTCCCTGAAACATAGTAAATGCTTAATAAATGCTTATTGATTGATTGATTAAAAGAAGAGGGTAATGTGATATACATTGAAGAGCACTTTTATTGTTAGGAGACCTGAGCTCTAATGCCAGCTCTGCCTTTAACTCACCCTCTAACCTTGAGGCTTCTTAATCTCCCTGGGCCTCAGTTTCCTCAGCTAGCAAATGAGGACAGGAAGATCTCTCAGGCCTCTTCCAGCTCCGAAATCTTATGAACTTCAATAGATAACACTTTTTTTAATTTAAAAAAATGATTAAATTAATTTATATCTGACTAACATGACAGAGAACAGTTTCTTTATCTTTGTGTGTGATGTATCTGGACTATTCAGTTCTGTCTCCTTGTCCCATCCCTGAGGAAGAATATAAACTATGAATCTCCAGGGTGCTGTTACTCATAGGGAGAGACGGCATGGTGCAATGGAAAGAGAACTGGACTTAAAGACAGGAGAAATCTGGGTTTAAATTTTGCCTTCAACATTGACTGACCATGAGCAAGTTACTTACTTTTTCTGAACCTCTGTTTCTTCAAGCATTCATTAAGCATTTCCTATGAGCCAGGTACTGTGGTAAGTGCTGGCTAATACAAACTCATTAAATTTTATAGTACAATAATAATATCCTGCCTTCAAGGAATTTACATTCGCCTCTAAAATAGAAGATAATAGTACCTGTAAAACATAACTTACATGGATGATGTAATCAGATGAAATAATCAATGAATAAAAGGAAAAGCATGTATTAAGCACTTATATGTTGGGTACCCTGCTAAATAATGGGGATATAGATTCAGCCACTGATTTATTTATAGGCACTTACATCCTAATAGGAGGAGATGACACACATAGGAGAGTGGTGACCAGGGAAGAAAGTTTGGTTCTGGGGAGGGTCAACGAGAAGGAATACATGCACGAAGGCAGGCAGATAGTGAGATGGCCTTGATGGATGGATGAATACTACGGTGAAGTATGGGTCTAGGGTCAATAGTAGATATGGCAGGCAAAGTGGGCCAGTTTGCACACACTCAGGCACCAGTCAACTGGGTTGGGCCCTAGAACTCCAGTGCCAAAGATGAATGCGTTATTTTCCCTACAGGCTGAGGACATGGCTTCTGAAAGACTGAGGTTTGGAGACCCAGGCTTCTTGTCCAGTGTACAGAAAAGCGCTTTACAAACTTTAAAATACTATAGAAATTATTGTTTTCCTATCATCATCAATATTATTGTAACTAACGGAGGTGCTGATCTCCAAACTGACATCTCTTCCTTGCCACCCCACTATCAAAATGGTCTTCCTGTACCTTACCCCTCCAGGATTGATAGGTTGGTCTAAAATAAAGTATAGAAAAGCTCCTCTGAGTCATTAATATTCAGTGCTGAAAAATCTTAAGAGAAATTACTGATCTTTATCTTTTTATTTTTTTCAAGTTATCAGCTTTATTGAACAATTGGCCGCTAAGTTCAATTTCTTATGATTCTTGCATAGCTACTCTTTTCTGCTGACTTCCTTTTGCATTTTTTAAAAAATTTAAATATTTTTTCTTTATCTAATATTTAAACCAAAGATTAAAACTGACAGCAATTTTCCAAGTATTCATGAATATTTCAATGTTAAAAATATATTTCCAAAATTAAATGTAATTTGATAAATTATAAGTAATTCAGAATTAAGAAAATGGGACACAATACAATATAGAATTGAATTATTATCAAAAACACACTAATTTTTCTGTTATATTAGTTAGAAAAGACCCACACAGTCCTGAACCACCACATTAAAGAGATGATGAGTGCTATTATTTTTGGAAGAGACCATAGGAAAATTGTTGTGGATATTTTTTACTCAGAGAAAGTTATTCAAGTGTACTTTCTGCCTTTGAAATATCCTGGAAAACTCAGGAGTAGCAATGGTTGTGAAATTATGATCCTATACTTAGAATTTCAAGTGGAGTTGTCCAACTTTTTTATTTTTGTTGTACTGAAATCTCAATTTACTGTTGCTAAAGCCAAGAGCAATGGTGTGTATTTATCACCTCTTTCTATGTGGATGCTTTGGAAGAGCCTCTGGGAGTATACCTAAAGGTTTCTGTCACTAACAGTCATAGTGAACTCTTTTGGGATGCTCAGATATATTCACGATGGTTATAAAAGATGGCAGTAATCAAAATGTTACAGTCACATATTAAATAATGAGTGTAAAATAAACTCTTGTAATAAAAATGCATAATAATTTTTAAAAGCACCATTCCTTTTCTTCACCTTTTCAGTGGCTTCTGAAAGATTCTTTTCAACTGCTTCAGCAAATTAACATATTGAGCTAGTCATCATAATTTTAGAAGTCATTGTTTTTTTGCATCTCTTGTTTGTTTTTGGTCTAGACCTTTGTTTCTTTGTTTTAGGGGGTGAAGAAACTTCTACCAGTGCTGATTGAAAATTGTTTTGCAATGTATAGTCTTAGAGAGTTGCCTGGGGGTGCTGAGCAGCCAAGCGATTTGACCAGAGACACACAACTAGTATGTGTTAAGGATGGGACTTGGCACAACTCCAAGGTCAGCCCATTGACCATTGTACCACATGCCCTCTCAATGCTTTGTTAAAGTAATAATTTACTTATTTAAATTATCTTCTTCTTAAACACTGAAGGTCATGGTCTCAGTATTCCACAGTCTTGTTATCTCAATAAGCTTCTTCCTGATAGGTGTTAAGTATCCCTATCAAATGAATCTTGGCTTTCTTTTGTTAGACTTGGTATTGTAGATGTGTAAGCTAGAAAGGACTTTAAGTTATCTAGTCCAGCTCCCTTATTTCACAGATAAGGAAACCAAGGTTTATTGAGGTCAAATGACTTGTTTAAAGTCATACAGGAAGTTAAGTGAGATAGAGCTAATATTCAAACCCAGGTTCCCTGACTCTAAATCATGTGCTCTTTCCACAGTATTACATTGCCTCCTCCTTAATAGGTGTCTTTGAAAGAATCATAAAAAGTGTTGGAAGATATTTTAGAAATCATCTCAGCCAACCTCCCACCAAGTAAAAGGGATCTCTGCTACAGCACCCCTAGCAAATTGTCATTTTGCCTTGGCTTAAACACATACAGTCATGGGGAACTCACCACTCAACCCAGAAAACAATGCACCAGCACCATTAG